GTTATCAGCAAAGCAGAGAAGAGCAAGGTGATGGTTACAGCCCATCTGTGTGCTCCAAGGCTGGGGTCGTTGGGGCTGGTGGGAGACAAGGAGCAGGAGCAAACTACCTGGGGGCCTGTGGGACCAGGGGCTGGGGAGATGCCATTTCTGCACCCAGATCCTGACACAGCTCACCCTCCACACGAGCGCCCCATGCAAATGCACTTGGATATAACATTTCCCACTGTCCTGGTTCCCAGGAGCTGCCAGCTGGCATTAGCATGAAAACATGTCAGTCTGAGGTGAACAGTGGGTTTGGGAGCCTCAGCCCACATAAGCAATGCAGCCAAAGGAGCAAGTGGGATGAGTGGTGGGCAAAGGGAGCCAGCTCCTCACCAGCCCAGCCTCACCTCCCCTGCCCACCTCTCCCACGCCTTGCCTGGTGGGTCTCTGGCCTGGACTACCCCACTACAAGGGGGAGAGCTTTACTCCCAGCACCACTGCTGTACGGATGAGAACTCCAAATTTCATTTGCAAAGGCATGACTTTATCTTCAGCCCTCTCTATGCCTCCACACAACCTCATCCTCTCTGATGTTGCCTCAAAGAAACATCCAAGCCTCGGAGAGCAACAGCTCTGCTATGGAGCTGGCTCCTGCCTGAGCAGAACATCAACCCCATGTCCTCTGTGTAAGTCTCACTGGTGCTGCCAGCAGCAGGAGCAGCCCATGGGGCTGGGTGCTTGCTCATCTACCCCACACTGTGCTGTAGAGCTCTTCACTGGGCTGTGGAGCTGATGGCACGTTGGCGTAGATCTGCTCCTGCTGTGGCTTGGGCTTCTGCACTCTGGCATATAACGCCTCTCTTTCCTCTTCCAAAAGCTGGGAAAGGAGGGAGATAAACAAAAACATCCTTTGTGCGACTGCTCCAGGCAAACACTGTCTGCTGGAACCTCTCTGTAATGTTTTAAGCACCCAGGAGCAGCCACAGGGACCAGAGAGGGCACCCACATTAGCCAGGGTCACTCGGACCCCGGGTTGGCATTTCCCTTTGCAGCCCTCCTCTTCCCCACCCAGCCCATCCTGCTGCTCATTCTGTCACCCACCCACTGCAGCGTTCCTCCCAGCTGGGCAGTGCTTGGCGTTCTCCTACCTGAGCACTCAGCCTGACCTCCGTGTACTCCACCGGGAGCGTTTCCAGGCGGCGCAGAGCCTCAGCGTTGCCCTGCTGGCTCCCAGCCCCGCCCGTGCCGTGGGTAATGTCCGCATAGTTCAAGGCTTCTGCTCCCTGATGGAGAGGGATGAGCTCTTACCCTGCTGCCTCTCCCTGCCTGCAGCCACAGGGGTGGGAATGTCTCCCACCCTGCTGCCCGTCCTGATGGCTGCTGGGATGGCTGCAGGGGCACTGGGTGGAAATAAAAATTGAAGCAAGGGCTGGCTCAACATTCCCCAGGGGAATTCTTGTGACACCAGCCCCTCCTCAAGAGCTGGCAGCAAAAAATCAGAAAATACTTTCCAAGCAGTAAGCAAGGAGCAGCTGCCCTGCAGCCACTGCAAGTGTGATTTGCTGCAGGTTCCCACACCTCTTTCACCCAGAGAACTAGCTGCCATGCTTGGAGAGAAACCTCTCAGATCAATTCTAAATTCCTTTCCCAGGAATACTCTGTGATAGTCACAGAAAGTGCCTGTTTGTGTCTTTCTGTTGGCAAGCAGAGCCCAAGGATGCCTCCCAGCCTACAGTGCCATGAACCTCAGTGAAAGCAGCACCTCTGGCAGCTCGGGGTGCAATGTTTCCCCTCTTCATGTGAACTTGGGGCACAGAATCCCAAGAACTCATGAGGTTTTCCTTACTGTAGGTGACATGGTGCAAGTCCTGTCCATCTCTATGGCTGCTCCAGAAAGGGCTGGATGAAGCATGGATGTGGCTGGACATGAGTGAAAACAGAGGAAAAGAAACATATTGAGAAAATGCACTGCCACTGCAAATCTTGCCATAAAGCAGGGCAGGAACCTCACACTCCATGAGCCATCTAACTGGAGCAGTTCTTCAAACAAAGCCAGACCCCACCTGCCAGCTGGCAATGTCCTCTCCTGTCCCTCCCCATCCTTCACACTTTCTTAAACTCTGCATCAGGCCAAGTGTAAACCTGGCCCATGCAACTGATGGTGCCCAGACAAACTCAAGCAGATTCTGTGCCCAGAAGCACCCACCCCAAGGGCTGTCATTCCCTGCTCCCAGGGGACAGCACCCATGGGATAACACCCATGGGACAGACCCACTGCTGCCTTGAGGGAAGGAGTTCCCATGGTGGAGGTCTCAATGATGGACTGAGGAATTTGATGGATCAGGAAGGGAATAGGGGAGGAAAAAGAAACAGAGAGAAAAATAAGGGAAGCAGAGCAGGCTGTGTTACAGAAGCAGGATGTGCGTGGCACTGACAATTCCACTCACCCTTTTTCTTCCTGGAGAGTACTACTAGAACACCAGCAGCCACTGCTAGCAAAAAAAGGACCACAACAATGGCTGGAGTGAGGATGTGCTCAACCACATTCATGCTGCAAGAAAAGAAAGAATGACGAAGACAATTTATGTTGCCATGCTTCTCAGGATGAACCAGCATGGAGCAGGGTTGCAGGGAGCAGCTGGGGATGACACAGAAAGTAGCTGTGGCAGTAGAGTGGCAGGGCTTGCCCATCACAGCAGGCATGGGATGGTCAGGCTGCCAGCTGGGCATGGAGCAGAGCAAACCAAAAACTGCAGAAGCAAAAGGATGCTTGGGTCTGAGAGCCACTGTGGCTTCAGTTATTTAAGGATGGGCTCCTGCATTTGCATTAACTTCACTCTTTGTTAACCTTGTTTGTAATGGGCAAGCAGGAGAAGTCAGGGAGCCAGCACACCCTTGAGTGTGCTGATGGGGAGTCTCAGCTTTGTCTGCTGCTGGCATCACCTCCCACAGGCAGGAGAGGAACAGGGAAGATCTAACACCCTGGTTTCATGCTTTTTCAACTGTCTCAACTGTCTCTACCAGGCTGCGTGTAACTACAAAGAGCAGGACACTTGGCTTCCCACGAACAGTCTCACTGAGTTTTGGGGAAGGAAATGAGGTCGGTATTGCAGCAGAAACCACTTCTCCCATGTGAATAGAGGCACTGGAATTACCGTCATAGAATTAGAGATTATTTGGGTCAGAAGGGGCCTTAAAGATTATCCAGTTCCAACCCTCTGCCATGGGAAGGGACACCTTCCACTAGGCCAGGTTGCTCTCAGCCCCATCCAGCCTGGCCCTGAACAGGGATGGGGCACCCACGACGTCTCTGGGCAACCTGTGCCAGGGCCTCACCACCCTCACAGAGAAGCATTTTTCCATGTGGAGTGGTTTCTAAAGGCAAAACCAGCAGGTCTGGATCCTTAAGGGAGGTGTGAAGAGTCTGACGGTTACAGGGCTCCAGCTCAGGGAGGAAAGTGGCTGCTGTAGGCAGGAGCTGCTACTCACAGTTGAGGGGTGGAGGGATTTGATGTTGATTGCAAAATTTCCCCCTGGGAAATTGTCTGTGTGTGGCTTGAGAGAATGAGATCAGAGGACGTGGAGGTCACGTAGATCGATGATGGGACGATGGAAGGAGCTGTAACAAAAAGAGGAGAGGCATGGTTGATCTCTGCAGAGAAAAATGCTATGGGTTTTGCAGTGAGTCAGAAGTGCCATACGTGCTGTCACAGGAGGAGAAGCTGGGTCCCCTCTGCCACAACTCGAGGTCAGAGTGCTGTAAGACTCCTCCTCTGCCCACGAGGCTTTTCACAGTCTCAGTCCCCCCCCAAAACATCCACAGAACAGATTCACCTTACAGAAAGGGGTCTAGGCACCCCATGCCCAGTTTAGTTCTACCACAACAACAGCACATATATATTGTCCTGCTATGCAGGCTGATCCCTGGAAAGGCAATGGACAGGGATGTTTTCCAAGCCCAGGGCCTGGTGCCCAGGGGTGCTGCCTCTCCCAATGGGAAACTGGGCAGCAGAGTGCAATGAGGAACAGCCAGTGTTACACAGGAAGGCAAGGAAGGCAGAAGCATTAGCAACAGCTAATGAGGAAGAACAGTGGGCACAGAGAGCACAGTACACCTCAGTAATGGAGATGGCACCGGGGGTGCCAAGAAGAGGCTCTGGGTAGAGCAAAGGAGAGGCAATGAGTGGTGGTGGCACCTACTGCACTCTGGTAGCACACCTTGGGGCCGTCACACCTGCATGGACACCCATCAGCTGCAGGCGGCCCACACCGCAGCCCCTGCTCCAAGCAGCTAGAGTAGGACATATCCATGCTGGACGTGGGGGCCCTGCAGCCCACAAGTACTGACCTGAGAGCACGATCACCTTCACATCAGCACTCTCATCAGACACAAGTCTTGGCATTCGCACTCCACAGCGGAAGGTGCCCGCGTCCTCCTCGGACAGACCATGCATGGTCACCGTGAATGCCCGGCGTGTGCGGTTGTCCCGGATGGAGAACCGGCCCCGCAGCACCGCGGGCTGCAACTCCGAGGTGATGACGATGTCGTTATCACAGGTAAAAACAAACCTTCTACTTGGGACGCACCAGAATTTCGGCAACTCCTCCAAGCCCGACCGGTAGGTGCAGGTGACCGACAGGGAACCCCCCAGGAATCCCCGGACGGTGCCGGGCCCCGTCACTGCCCTGCAGCCTGTGGAGACACACGGAGCCCGGGAGTGCGGCCGCCGCAGCGGCACCTGCCGCCCGACGGGGCCGCCCCGGCACTCGGGGGCTCCGGCGCAGCCTTACCTGGCAGCAGCGCCCAGGCGAGCAGGGGCAGGAGCTGCATGGCCGCTGCGGGACGCCGGGGCTCAGCGCGCTGCCGCTCCCGGCCGCTCTCGGCGGAGCTCGGCCCGCCCCCGGGGCCGCCCCCGCGCCGCGGCCACCGCGGTGGGGCGGAGAAAGGGAACTGCTGGGCAGCGGGGGCTGCCGAGGAGACGGGGCACGGGTAATGAGCGGGGTCAGGGAGCCTTTACTGAAGCCTTTATTGAAGCCTTTACTGAAGCCTTTACTGAAGCGGGAAGGGCCCGGCGGGGCCCCGGTGCGGCTCCCCCTGCCCGCGCCGTCGGGAGCGGGGCAGGCGGGGGTCGAGCGGCGCCGGCCGGGGCCCTGGGGTCCCGGCGGGGCTTTAGCGGAGCCGCAGGCTGACCCAGAGCACGGCAGCGCTCATGGCCAGCAGCGCCAGCAGCTGCAGCCCGGCCAGCACGGGGAAGTAGCGGAAAGTGCCGCGGCTCCCCGGCGGAGCGTCCGGCGAGAGCGTCGGGGCTGCGGACGCGGAGGAAGGATGGGTGCAGCGGCTGCCAGACGGGCACCGTGTTCCTGTCACGCTCGGGGTGAAACCTCCTCCCGCAGTCTGGCCCCAGGCCCGCGACGTGGGGGTCACTCTTGCTGTGGGGGGAACGTGCAGAGTCTGACACAGGAACGCCATCCCCTTCCCAACAGCGCTCTCATCAAGCAGGTACATTCCCATTCACAGCCCGCACCAGAAGGTGCCCTTGCCCTCCTTGGCCAGACCCCCCACAGTCACTATGAACAACAGGTGTGTGTGGTTGGACCGGCTGGAGCGACGGTGTGGCAGATGGGAAGGAGGGATGGATGCAGGGAGTGCCACATGGACACCACATTCCTCTCCATCTTCCCCTCTCTGGGCGACATCTCCACCCTTAGTCTGGCCCCAGTCCCCCAACCCTGTTGTCGCTGTTGCCGTGGGGGACTCGTCAGGGACTGACCTGAGAGCACGATCACCTTCACAGCAGCACTCACATCAGGCACAAGTCTTGGCGTTCGCACTCCACAGCGGAAGGTGCCCACGTCCTCCTCGGACAGACCATGCACGGTCACCGTGAATGCCCGGCGTGTGCGGTTGTCCCGGATGGAGAACCGGCCCCGCAGCACCGCGGGCTTCGACTCCGAGGTGATGACGATGTCGTTATCACAGATAAAACCAAACTTTCTACTTGGGACGCACCAGAATTTCGGCAACTCCTCCAAGCCCGACCGGTAGGTGCAGGTGACCGACAGGGAACCCCCCAGGAATCCCCGGACGGTGCCGGGCCCCGTCACTGCCCTGCAGCCTGTGGAGACACACGGAGCCCGGGAGCGCTGCTGCTGCCCAGGCACTTCCCACTCCTTCTGCTGGATCCAGCGTGGGGCTCCAGCCCCAGCGGTGCACTGAGACCCCCCTGGCAGCAGTGCCAAGGCCAGCACCAGCAGGAGCCACATGGACGCGTCGTGGCAGCCCTGCTGCTCCTCTTCATTGTGTCTCTGGGGCTTTGCTTCCTCTTTTGCCTCTGGTAGCACTTTCGTTGCTGCTGGAGATCCAGCAAGATCGTGGCGTTTCCTGTTTCCTAGAGTTTCAGCTTCTCCAGGTCACTGAGATTGCTCTCTGTGCATGGTCCCCCGTGCCCTTCCCCAGAGTCTCTGCTTTCTTCCTCCAGCATGGCCCCCATGCGGGACACAGCCTGCCTCTCCCTGCTACACTGCCCAGCCCCTCTGGCCGGGCAGGGCACCCGGGGCAGAGGTAGCTCAGAACAGCACAGGCACCACCTGAAGCCCAGACAATCCTCCAGGCTGGGCAGTGCTCCTGCATGGCCACCCTCTCCTTCCCAGGGGAATGAATTGGGTAACACACTGCCCAGCCCCTCTGGCTGGGCAGGGCACCCGGGGGAGAGGTGGAACAGCACAGGCACCACCTGAAGCCCAGACAATCCTCCAGGCTGGGCAGTGCTCCTGCATGGCCACCCTCTCCTTCCCAGGGGAATGAATTGGGTAACCCCATCCCCTTATCTCGGTGCAGCTGGACAGGAGCACCCATTTCTCTTGCCAGTTTAGCCCCTCTGAGGCTCAGGCACCCCATGCTCTAATCAGGTCCCTCCAGGCCTCCCCGTGTCCCCAGTCCCTGCAGATGCTGAGTGGGGGCAGTGTTGGGGAAGAACACCCTTGCCTGGCTATTGCTAAGCTGGAGATGGGCATTTGGTGGACCAGGCAGAGGTGGCAGGGCTGAGGCTGCTGGGGCTGAGGGCTCCTTTCCCCATGAGGAAGCTCAGCTGGGCCATGGTGGAGCCTGCACAGCCCCTGTGACCCCATGTCCCCCCCAGCCACAATGCAGATGTCCCCACACAGGTACGTGCATCAGCCTCAGCTGCCACAGGCATCCCGGGCAGTGCTGGCAGCTGAGGGAAGGAGCAGACAGACAGAGAGACAGAGAAGCAGACAAGGCCCTGCAGGATACCCAGCCTTTATTGCAAAATTGTCTTCCATTGGCAGCTGCAGCTCAACAGACACAGGCTCTCTGCACCCCAAGCCCTTCCCTCTGCAGCGCAGGGGCTGCCAGGAGGGGCCGAGGCTTTCCAGGGCCAGAAGGACCCGGAGCCGAGCGCCTCCCGGCACGGGGCAGGCACAGCCCCAGCAGGGTGGGGGTCAGGGGGCAGGAGGGCATCCCTGGGGCTGGGAGGTGGTTGGGACGGGTGGGCAGCCCCGTGCCCTGGCGCTGCTGGGTGCCTCCAAGTGCTGAAGGATGTCCTGGTCACGGCTCCTCAGCCAGGCTGCCCCACCAACCACGGCTAGGGCCATGGGCACCTTGATGCTGAGCAGAAGCAGCAAGTAGATGACACTGGCCTGGGACCTGTGTAGGAGAAAGGAGGTTATGCTAGAGCTTTTGTAGGCTCTGGGGAATGAGGATGGGGACTGGGGCACTTGCATGTCTGCCAGGATGCTCCTTGGGACTCAAAGCTAGGAGATACATGCATGGGAAATGAAGGTGTTGTCAAGGGGATGCTTTTGGGGGTTTGCCTGGATCCCAAGCCCTAACTCACAGCACTGGAGGCTCTCCACAGCCCCTGGGGCACAGAGGGTTGGTGGTCAATGGGCTCAGGTTGCTGTCCTCAGTTGTGTTTGAAACAGCTGGCAGAGAAAACAGAGTCAGAACAAAGTGGATACCCCCACACCCCCTGTCCTGTACCCTGCACAGGAGTCTCTGTCCCCGAGACTTCAGCAATGAAGGTGCAGGGGTGGATATGGAGGTATCTGGGCAATGCCCTGAGCACTGCAGAGGAAGAAGAGGAAAAAGGGGGAAGTTTAATGCCAGCTTTGCTTCCAGCCCTGTTTTACCTGCAGAGACCATCACCTTGGTGCTGTGCCATCGGTTGAGCCCCACTTTCTTCTTCACCCCACAGGAGTACTGGCCTGCATCCCCTGGTGTGACACTGCTGAGTGTCACTGTGAATGAATTCGCTGTGTGGTTGTCCCTGATGGACACCCTGTCCCGTGTCACTGTCACCTCTGAGCCATCGGTTTGGATGATGTAGGTCAAGCAAAGCCAGAGGGAGCTTTTGCGGCACCAGTACTTGGAGTTGAGCTTGTAGCGTGGCTTGTAGCTGCAGGACACTGCCAGTGAGCTGCCCTGCTCAGCTGTCACCTGCCTGGGGCCTGTCACTGCCCGGTCACCTGCAGGGGACAGAGAGAGGAGCTGCAAACCCATTCTGGCATTGCCTCAGGGAACCATGAAGGATCTGAGCCCGGGGAGTACAGCCCGAGGAGGCTGTGCCTGTGCGCTCACTCTGCTGGTGAGCAGTCACCAGTCATTAAAAAAAGAGCCCCCATCAAAGGTGTATGTTAGTAAGAGAATGAAAAGCCTTATTCCCAGGGTTCACATGGCAGGGAATGAGCAAATCTCACAGATCACACTCTGTAACTACCAGAGGAAAAGTTTGGGATCAGCCTGTCTTTTGCCATGACCACAGTGAGCTTCTCAGTCTGCCTCAGCCCCAGCCTCTCCACAGCTCTGCCAGAACCCCTGATATAGATTTGCCTGACCTTTGCTCGTGGTTCTCATGAGGAAAAGGGTCCAAACTAAGAAAATCCTCATTTTCCAGCTTCTTGCTTCTGAGGTAGAATTTTCCCCGTGGTTTTTCACAAGAAATCCTTCAGGATGAAGCCAGGCCCACATACACATGGATGTCCTAAGAGTTTTCCAAGCTGTGTTCTCCTGCTACTTCTTTGGGCAGTGCTCTCCCACAGACCCTGGATGTTTTCTTTTTAAGACAGTTACTTCCTCCCCTTCACCCACCACTCATGACTCACCCTGGGGTGTTCCATGAGAGAGAACTCTGCTTTTTCTCTGAAACAGTCACTGGGTTCCCAGTAAAATGCCAAAATGCAACAGGTTCCTCCACTGTGATGCCCAACCCAGCAGGGACCAAAAACCCTTCCCCTGCACAGAACCCAAATGATTTTGGGGAGTTTTGAGAGGACCTGGCCAGAGCAGGATGCAGGGATTGGGGAAGAGTGAGTGCAGCTCAGCCCCTGCTGATGGACTGGTTGGGATGCTGGCTTGCTCTCCCAGTTCTGATGGACTGGGATGATGGACAGCCATCCAACCCCCTGCACTGCTGCTCTCTGGCTCTGGCTGCCAGCTTGAGCTGCTTTTGTTTTCTCAAGCAGAAAAATCTTCTTTTCCTCCCCAAACAACCTTTTTTGGCACAGCTGTAGGGTTTTGAGTGACACCGCTGTTTTTGCCCAGAATTAGATGCTTCCACTAAAAGTTTCAGAAACCCAAACACAAAGCAAAGCTGCTTCCCTGGCTTTCTTCCACTATGACCCTTGGAAAGAGCAGAAAGCACAAAGCTCCAGAATCCCCTTCCCTCTCAATGCCTTGCCATGGCAAGAGGGAGCTCTGGGTTTCCCTTTGGGTCATCAAGTAACTCCTTCCTTCCCAGCTGACTGCTTGTGAGCCAAACGCTGCAGGTAACAGCAAGATCTAAATTCAAAAAGTGGCTGGAGATGGCAGATCTGCTTTGTGCTGAAACACTTCCCACTCCAGCCACCTCATCTTCCTTGGGAATGCATCCCTGCCACTGCCTGGAAAATCACAGTGCATCCTTCCCACCCTTCCCTTGGAGTGAGGGGAGGACTGGCAGAAGTGGCTCGGAGGTGGAGAAGAGACTCTGGGTGTGTACAGGGAAGGTGCCTACAAAGGTATTTGCTGCATGAGGATTTTGAGGGCAGCTCAGTTACCTGAAAGCAGACAGAAGCACTTCTTCAAAGAGCCACTTTGGTTGAGTTATTGGGGAATATTTCAAGCCACATCCCTGCGGTGTCATTACTGTGACGTCACCATCAGATGTGAGGTGTCATTTCCCTATTTCCCAGGTTTGGGTCCTGGGCAGAATGAGCAGCTGCCCAGTCCAGTGCAGGGGTTGGGACCCCCAGAACAGACTGAGGCCACTTTCTCCCCATCATGGCACTCCCCAGGACTATGTTGTACCCCAGAGAGTTCCTGACTGTGTCACTGGAAGATCTCCCTCCATCCCCTGAGGATACAGCAGTGATTTACAGCCGCCCAACATCAGCACTGCAACTCCCACATGGGCTTTTACTCTAACACTTCTCCTCTCACCTGCTGTGTGAAGGGTCCTGGTGGGGTGGGACACTGACCAGGGGCTGTCAGTGAGGGGTTTGCAAAGGGGGTGGCTCCAGCTCAGTGCCTCAGCCCCAAACAAACAGCAGTGTGTGAACATCCTCCTGGAGCGGAAGGTCAAGAAGCGAGCAGGCAGGAATGAGGAACCCCAGAGTGCTGACACAGAAGTCTGTCACAGGAGGACCTGCCCAGTTAAAGTGAGTGTCAGCTGGAAGGCAGAACCAGAAAGGGAGTGGAGCAATTCAGGGACAAATCTGTACAACAGAGTATGATGAGGAATCACTCTGTCCACAGTGGGGAGGGCCCTGCAGAGAGCCCTCCAACACCCTCCAGCCATGGCACGGGTGCTGAGGTGCTCCAGAAGCCCGGGGGGAATGGATAACCAGGGCAGGGAAAGGCACTCTGCTCTGAACCAGCATCTCTGGGGGGCTGTGGAAGGATCCTGCAAGCCAAAACTTCTCTCTTTTAGCAGAAAGAGGCCCGGGGAGCACAAGGCAAGGCTGCTCTGTGAGAGAAGAAGCATTGCTGGAGTGCTTCTCAGGAATCCCACTAACACACCCTGACAGGAGCACATCAATTTGCCTTTTGGTCCGTGCTGCACGGGGCTGGAGCGAGCACCCTGGCGTGTCAGAGCCCCGGAGCGCCGTCCTGATGTGCTGTGGGCACAGCACAGGGGCTGGGGTGACACCGGGTCCTGCAGCCCTGCCTGCCCCCGTGCAGTGCCAGTCCCACCCTGCAGCAACGGGACCCTGCCCGGCACCACCAGAGCTGCTTCTGCTCTAGTTCTGCTTCTGCTCTAGTTCTGCTTCTGCTCTAGTTCTGCAAGATTATGCATCTGGGTTTACTCTCCGGTGTTGGTCCTAAGAAAAAGCCTCAAAGCCTTTGTGGGACAGGCAGTAATTGAATCAATCAGAGTGTGCATCTCCTTGGTTCAGGGCCCAGATCTTCCCCAGTTCTCATCCCACTGTATTACCCACCACCACAGCTGAGCCCTTCCAGAGTCCTGTCTTCCCTGGACTTCAGTGATATTTCCAATCCCCGATTCTGTTATTGAATCTAGGGCCTTTGAAAAATAATCAGGTCATTTCAGTCTGTTCTTCACGGGCAGATTTAGCAAGCTTGGTGAAATTGTCCTTAGGAGATAAGGCTGAATATTGTAGCTCCTTTAGTGCTGACTGATTGAACAGGCACTGTCTGATCTCTCTTTCCTCTGCCATCTCAGATACCCGAGATAAGTCTGGATCATTCCCAGATCTCCCGATTCAGTAAAGCCAGTAAAAGTGGCAAAACACACTCATCGAATTTGTGGTGCTGGAGGATTTGCTCTGGGCTCCCCCTGAGGCTGTACTCAGCCAGAAAGGACCAAGGCAGGGGTTATTTAATGCAAGAAATTAAGAATCCGTACTCAGTGGATTCAGAGGACAAAATTCTGATTCCTTCCTAGCACATGGGGAAGGAATTACTTCAGCAAGGCTTCAGTTTCCCCCAGATGTATTGTACAGGCAATCCAGGGAGATACTACAGCAGTTAATAGGGTTGGGCAGCAGAGAACAAGCAGGAGCAGGCCAGGAAGACAGTGAAGCAGAAACTCCTGAGATGGATTTAAGTTTTCCACTATTAGAGCTGTACTTCTCAAGGCAAATACACAAGTAATTAAGCCACCAGAGACACAGTCTGTGAGCAAATACACCAAACAATGGATCTAAATTGCAAGTTGATTTGGAATCATTGCAATTTACAGTTCATTCCCTCTGATTTCATTGCCCTGCATTGATTTCAGCTGGTCAGCACTTGCTCGGGGCTGTAGACTGCTCACTGGCTGCCAGAAACCTCTGGGAGGTTTCTGTAGACTGCAGACTGGCTGCCGGGTCTGGGGGAGGCTGGCAGAGTAAATGGTTTGCTCTGGGTGCTGGGGAAATGCACTCCCCAGTGTGTGAAGGGAGGCAGTGATGCAGGTGTTGGGCTGTGGGCTCTGATAAAGCTGCTGTTACCACTTATCTACGATGGATCAGGTCCTCCAGCATGACAAAGTGGGATAAAGCCCTTGGAGCAGGGCCAGGGCGTGCTGGTGCCTGGGTTCTGCCAGCAATCTTCGTTGTCTCATTAGGCTGCATTACATTTGGAGATACCATGACAGACAGGAGAATTGTCTTCCTGCTGAGTGAGGTTAAACCTGCAGGGCCTGTCTCTGGTGCAACGCCAGTGCCTGCAGGGGGAATGGACAACTTGGCTCGGTGAAGCTCCTCAATCCCTCCCTGCTCTCCTTTGTGATTCAGGGTAGTTAACTAATGTTGCTGGAGCTAAAAAGTCAGAGAATGCTCTCTGAGCCCCAGAGCTTCTCCTACAGCAGGGACCTGCCAGAAATTCCCAGGAGGGATAAGCAGACCTGGAGCCTCAGAGCCAGTGAGATGTTGGGGGCTTACCCTTCTCTTCACCCCCACCTTCCAGGAGAGGTGTGTCGGAGTTCCTGCCCCGTTTCGGAGCTCAGGGCAGAGCTGTGCAGTCCCTGCAGCAGGTCTGGGTCCCTGGGGCCCGTGGGGCCCAGCAGACAGCTTGGGTCAGGCAGCACCCCTGCTCTGGGGCAGGAGAAGGCTGAGCATGCACTCAGCATGGTGGCATGAAATCTCCATCCTCAACGGGCCATGGCAGCACTGGGATATCCGAGGGAAGGATTATGCAGACATCAATGGGAGTTTGGGAGTTCTGACAAGTTCTTGGTGTGTTTAAAAGTTGCCCTGACTTTGTTGAAGCCCCACTGAGGTTTGCTGCTCTCTCCTTCTTGGCCCTGCCTGCTGTGGGGTGTGTGCACTATGTTGAACCATTTGTTTATTTTCTGATCCAGACACCAGGGCTTGTGATATCATTTGTTTTTGTGTCGTTGATTGTGTTCCAGTGCATGAGGCCATGGTCTGGCTGCAGGATGGTCTGGGTTGGGTTGAGCTTTTTGGCCTCAGGCAAGCCTGAACTCCACTGTCCCTATCGAGTTTCAAATTTTTTTCTGGCTATTGTTCCTGGGTCCAATCATCTGACCCAGCAGAACCATCTCTGCAGTCAGAAGAAATAATGGGTAGATATAATTAGGAATGTCAGGCCCAGGCAGTCAAACAGCAATCGGATGGGTGCAGATGGCTCTTGGAAGCATGGTCTGTTCCTCTGGCTTCAGGCCATCTGCTGCTCTTGAGCGAGGGAATTGGAGACTGAATTGAGTCTCTCTTAAATAAACTTCTGAGTAAAGATTAATTTATTTCCAGTGCAATCAACAACATCAGATTGCTCTAAAGGGAGTTGTAAAGAAAAGGATCTCAACAAGATATTGATTGTGACCTTCAGGTTTAGGTACAGCTTCATCCTGTTTCTAATAACTTTTTTTTTTACTCTAAGCAGGGTCCTATCTGGGCTCTGTAAATACAGTGGAACCCCAAAGTGGACCTGTCGGGATAAACCAGGCTCAGCACCAGTTTGGCAAAGAACCTAAAATGGCCTGGCTGGCAGGAGCTGCTGTCCCTCCCTGGGGTGCCACGGCGGTGCCCACCCAGCTCTGTGCTTCACCCCTGCCCGTGGGCTCTGTGTCTGCAGCGGCATCAGGTGCGGGCATGAGGCTTCTGCGGTGCCAGCGAGCCTGCTGTGAATGCGGGCTGGGCAGGGCAGCGGACCTGGCTCCGTGCTCTCAGCTGGGCACTGGCTGGAGCTGGTACTGGAGCTGGTACGGGAGCTGGTACCGGAGCTGGTACGGGAGCTGGTACAGGAGCTGGTACCGGAGCTGGTATCGGGGTTGGTACCGGAGCTGGTAGCGGAGCTGGTACGGGAGCTGGTAGCGGAGCTGGTACCGGAGCTGGTACCAGAGCTGGTATCGGAGCCGGTACCGGAGCTGGTACCGGAGTTGGTAGCGGAGCTGGTACGGGAGCTGGTACCGGAGCTGGTACCGGAGCTGGTACCAGAGCTGGTACGGGAGCTGGTACCGGAGCTGGTACCGGAGCTGGTACGGGAGCTGGTACCGGAGCTGGTACCAGAGCCGGTACGGGAGCTGGTACTGTAGTTGGTAGCGGAGCTGGTACGGGAGCTGGTATCGGGGTTGGTAGCAGAGCTGGTAGCGGAGCTGGTACCGGAGCCGGTACCGGAGCTGGTAGCGGAGCTGGTACCGGAGCTGGTACCGGAGCTGGTATCGGAGCCGGTACCGGAGCTGGTAGCGGAGCTGGTAGCGGAGCTGATAGCGGAGCTGGTACCGGAGTTGGCACCGGAGCTGGTACCGGAGTTGGTAGCGGAGCTGGTACTGGAGTTGGTAGCGGAGCTGGTACCGGAGCTGGTACCGGAGCTGGTACCAGCCCTGCCGGGGCTGGCCGTGCCCCGCGGGTGCCTCAAGCGGGGAAGGGAAGAAGGCCAGCGATTCCCGGCGGCGGCGGCAGGGACCCCCGGGCTCAGCGGAGTCGGGGGGCTCTGTGGCGGCGGGCGGAGATGGGGAGGGGCCGGTGCGGAGGGACCAGCGGCCGTGCGGGGCGGCCGGCGGGCTCTGCCGGCGCGGGGGCCGCTCCCAGCGCCTCCCCGCGCGGGGCGGGCGCTGCCCGCGGTGCTGAGCGGGACGGGCGCTGTCCGCGGTGCTTCAGGGCCGGCCCGGGCACCCCAAAACCCCCCCGGCCATGGGGGCCCGCGCCGCCGGCCCGGGGGGGGACGGATACAACGAGGCACTGCTGCACAAGGTAGGGCTGGGGATGAGGATGGGGACGGGGATGGGGATGGGGATGGGGATGGGGACGGGGATGGGGATGGGGATGGGGATGGGGGCATCCAGGAGGGGGCTGAAGATGGGGGAGAAGGGGCAGGGCTCCTGCTTGAAGTTCCCGACAAATTCCGTCCCTCTGCATTCCTCGCTGCTCCTCTCCCGGCGGGCTCCGTCTCTCACCCTCATCCCGGCGCGGCGGCAGCTCTCTGTCCCCTGCGGGGACGGGCAGCCCGCAGGGATTGGCCCCGGTCCCAGCCACATCCCGGCTGATGGCAGGCAGGGGGTGGCAGGATTCGGAGTGTTTGGGAAGCCAGGACTGCTGGAGCGGGGCCAGCCCCGCGGCACAGCCCGCAGCCGCCCTTCAGCCGCTGTCCTGAGCGGGCTCAGGGCGGGCCGGGGGCAGCGGAACCCCGGGGCTCTGTTTGCCAGAAGCACATTGATGAGCCGGGACTTCCCTGCCATGAAATAGCCGTGTCCCAGAGACGTCCATTCCCGCCCTTATTGCTTTGAAATCCTCTCTTGCAGTGCTCCTGGGACTGTGTTTTGTAACTGCAGTTGCACGCAGGGTGGTCAGGGTTGGTGGTGTCCCTGCAGGACGCGGGGTGCTCGAGCTTTGCTGCGGGGACAGCAGCAGCAGCAGGGATTTTGCTCTCTGCAGTCAGGCGCTGCCCTGCAACTCCTGGAGTGATGGAGGAGATGCTGATTTATCACAGATCCACCCATCACTCCTTCCTGCTGTCCTCACACTGCTTTCCTGCAGTCCCCAGTGACTGTGCAGGAACTGGCACCCTCGGGAAAATCAGGATGGGACACGACAGGAGAAGGGCTGGGCTTCTGTGGATGTCTCTTCACAAATCCCAGTCTGTACTGTATCCTGCTGTGCTCAGGGTAAGGTGCCCAGCCCTTGATTAGTAGAAAAATATCAATTACTAGCAGCTCTTATTTCTGTTGTACATGGAATACATAGAACATGCCCCCAGGGATGACTTGAGAAACTCTGATTCTTTGCAAAGTCTTAACTGTCTATTCTCCAGGAAGCAGCTGCAGCAGTTCAGGAATTACATTGGTGGAAATGAGGCTCTGGGCAGAAGATCTGCCCAGGCAAACAACCATTCCAGTCCCATGTTCCCTGCTGTTTCCCTTGGTATTTTTCTGCTTCTCCTGGCTGGGCTGCTTGTTTTGCAGAAACAAGGCTGCTCTCACTCCAGGGAAGTGAGGCAGCAAATACCTCACTAGATCTTGTGTCTGAGCAAGCAATCACATTTCACATGTGTTGAAAAATCCCAAGAGAGCTTTGCAGTCTGGAGACAAGGATTAAATGATTTCTATGGTTGGTGGCTAAACCCAGGCCTGGGGAGGAAATGGGCCAGGGGCTAACCAAAGCAGGAACAGCAGAGGTTTGTTTTGGGCTGTTCCAGAAAAGTTTTGCTTGGTACAAAAGGATGAATTCTGCTCTCAGGTGGTTTGACCCATTGCCAAATCATTCCTCCTCCTCTGTGATTCCTGGATCCTTTTAGCTGCAGCAAGCCCCAAAGGCAGAGGGATGTGTTCCTTGTCTGTTGTTGATCCAAGGTGTTAACAGGGGCTGCAAACAGGGATCTCCTGAGCAGGTTTTGTTTGATGCACAGCCCTAGAGCTCATGCTGCAGGGCTGAGATACAGCATCTGCCAGGGCAAGGGCCCAGCCAGGCTGGCAGAGGGCTCCAGGCTCTCTCTGGAGCTGGTATAAGAGCCTTGGCCATGGAGAAACAGTGTCTGGGCACTGGGGACAGCCCTGAACTGTCCCTGTGGCACATAGCAGCTTCTAGCATCATCCAACTCTATCCCTGGAGTACTACCTGGAGCAGGGGAGAGGCAGCACAATTTTCTATAAAGAGCAGGTTAAAAATAAGTCTCAGGGACTGAGAGTCTCAGCCTGAGAGGCCACGAGAGTGGTTTGGCAAGGTGCTGAAAGGAGACATGTCCTCACCCTCAGACCTCTCCCTGTGCCACGTCCCAGCTGAGCTCTGCAGGCAGCTGTGCTGGGGGGCAACTGCACATTTGCCACAATTTGTTGTGATAAATCCTGCTCACCTGGGCACAAACCTGTGGGTTTGGGACTTCATCACCTCCCTGAGAGCAACACCAGAGCCTGTGGAGGGCACTTCTCCCTTCCCTGCATCCTCTGACTGGGTTTTTACCCTGTCAGGCTTCCATTAGCTATATTTAGCTCAGGTCCAGGTTCTGCATGTTAAATCCCGAAAATGAGCTGGGAAGACAACCTCAGCCCACATGCATTGTCCCAGATCTCCTCCCATCTGGAATTGCACTGGAATTGCACTCACTGCCTCCCAGTGCTGCCTTGACAGCCATGCAAAGCATCCCTTCCCTTGGCAGGTTAGACCAAAATATCTCTTTTCCTTGCAAGTATGGGAAGTTAGAATTATTTTGCCTTGTCCCTGCAGCCCGTGCCAAGCCAGCAATGATTTTGACTGGAAGTAATCCATCTACATTAGAATTAGCCCCAAAACTAACTCAGGGTGTAGGGAGGGATGTTTGCTCTTCCCCTAAGGCAGAGCAGGCAGACAAGTCTTTTCAGGAGCGTGTTGCAAGGTTTACCTGTTTTTCTCTGGGACTGTGGGGTGGTGGAGAAGTCAGGCTACCTCTGGCAGAGAACTGTTCCATCCCCACACCACTAGGCAGAGAGGATCAGCAGCACCAAAAGGAATCTTGCAATGTTTTACTTAAGTTTCCCATGAAAAAAAAAAACAAAAAGCAAACAAACCCCCCGCCCTAAAAACAAAAAACCAACAAAAAAACCCCAAAAACCCAACCCCAAAACAAAACAAAACAAAACAAAACAAAACAAAACAAAACAAAACAAAACAAAACAAAACAAAACAAAACAAAACAAAACAAAACAAAACAAAACAAAACAAAACAAAACAAAACAAAAAAAAAAAAAACCCCCCCCCCCCCCCACACACACAAAAAGAGAAACACCAAACCAAACACAAAAAACTGGGAAAACTTGAGGGGATGAGAAATGTGGAGGAGGTCTGTCTGTGGCTGAAGATGGGAAAAGAGTCAGGACAGCTGTGGAACTTCATCTCTGGGAGACTTTTTACTGTCATGACTCAGTCATGTCCAGCCTGAGATTTCAAGGGCTAACAAGCCACATCTTCTCTACAGTGGGCTTTTTGCTCTTGTTTTTTGTTTATTTGGTGACCAGGAAGGCCACAGTGATTTCTACTGTGCTGTCCCTCCACAGAGCCCATGAGCTTATCCTAAAGCCATTAGGAATGTTTCTTGGCTGATCCAGGCCAAATTTTACTGTTATTATTAAGTCATGAAGCAATTCATGAGTTGTCTCTATTATGAATCCCATTTAAATTATTAATAGAGGAATCTGCCTTTTATACATGTTCTCTGTAAACCCTGGGCTCTGGAGGCTTTCTGGTGCTCATTCCAACCAGCTCTTCTCCCTCCATAATTAATGCTGTTCTCTGCATTAACTGCTCCCAAACACAGCACTGCAGGGTGCACCCAGCCTTGTTGCACATCCCAGTATCAGATTTTATCTGGAAATAGTATGTGACACCAGATTATACAGCACTGAGGTGCAGGAGCCCCATGGCAATGAATTCTTGGGGTGCTTTCCTATCCAGCTGCTCCTGAGCATATCCTTCTCTCTGCACAGGGAAGAGTTCTGGGCCCTAGGGAAGAGCCAAGGGGGGTTTGGGCAGGGAAATTTCCCCCAGGAAAGGGGTGAACCAGTTCCTCTGGCCCAGAGATTTCTGCCTCCCGACATTCCCCCAGATGCCGTGCAGGCTCCCAGCTCACGCGGCTGCTCTGAGTGTACAGGTGACCTGCAAGCAGCCCAGGCAGGGAGGAGGAGAAGCCTCTGGCTGCAGGTCTGGGCACACTCTCAGCACACAGCAGCAGCCTGCATCTGGCAGAGGTGCAGGGCTCCCTCCTGCCAGCAGCTCTGCTCTGCAGGGCAGGTTTTCCCAGGACAGGTTCAGTGTCTGGGATGCGTTCTCCAAGGGAAAGTGCTGATTCACTGAGGCGAGCCCTCACTGAAGTGTGTCAGCACGAACACGCTCCAGGCAGGTTGTGGGGTGTGCTTTGTGCAAGGCAGGATGCTGATTTCCTGCCAGTCCACATCCCTGCGTTGTTTGTGGTCCTCAAGCTCCTGGGTTTTGGTCTCAGCCCACTTCTTTGGGATCTGTGGGGTGCAGGAACCGTGGTGCCAGGTGCTGTGAAGCCCACATGGCCTCCCAGTGTAAGGAATCAAGTCTTGATCTGCTGGGGCTGCTCAGGCATTTGATGAAACATTCCTTCACACTCGTGCTGTGTTTCACAAGGGGAAGTGCAGTGCCTGAAGTAGTGCCAGCATTGCTCACACCCCCGGGCACTTTGGGACAGGAGAGGGATTGGACCAGATGCGCACAGAGGCTCCCCTGAGTTTTGGGGAGATCCTGAAGCACCTTCAGGCTGGAGACAAAGGACTGAGGTGTTTCAGGGTGGAGCAAGGCTGCTGGAGCTGCACAAACACAAACCGAGCAGGGGTAAAGCAGACACAGCCACGTGCAGCAGAGCTGGATGCAGAGAGCAGGGAGGTTTAGTCCCAGCACCTCGCTGCCTCGTCCCTGCAGCCTCAGGGGTGACAGGGCACCAGTGACAGAGGGGACACTCCATGTTTGCCAGAACTGCAGCTTCAGCAACACCCCTGTCCTGAAAGACAAAGCCCAAACCACTTCTAAGCCAGAAGGCTGGTAGCAGAGTGTTTATTTTAATTAGTGTCCTGCAAAATGGCTGAAAGTGCCTCAGTTTCCTGAAAGGATGGGAATGTTTGCCAGTGGCTCTGTGAACAAAGCCCAGATAGCAGCAGAGGGAAGGGAGGGGTTCTGTTTGCACTGCAGGTCTCCCTTAGGTCAGGGATTTTGAGGGTCATGAGTAGGAGCAGAAGGCAAGATGAGCTCCCCAGGGGTGTGGCATGGGTACCAGGGCCACGGGCTGGCACTGTGGCAGCTGCTTCAGAGGTGACAGCTCTGACACCAGCACAGCTCCCTTGTGCCCTCTGCGCAGGGATGGGAACAGTGTGGAGTTTCCCGTGGAGGCTGGAGAGGCAGAGGGACCCCATGGCTTCCAACCCATCACACTGCCAGGAGGGAGTGCTGTGGGTCCATGGCATTAAGGCAGCACAAAGCCAGCCCAGTGACCCGGCTGGGTTGTGTGGCTGTGGCAGCAGCTGTGTGCAGCAGCTGCAGGAGATGCTCTCTTTACTAAACAGTTCTGGACTTAAGCCAGTGACTCCAAGGTCCTCCCAAAGAGGTTTTCCAACAGGCCTGTGTGAGCCAAGGCTGCTTCTGCCCAGCAGCTTCCTGAGCTGGGGTAGGAGCTTCTCTCCTGCTCACTCTCCATGACAGGCTGTGCTTTGCTTTCCCTCCCATCTCTCTTGGACAGGGTGCAGTGGGTTTCAGGCCTGAAACTCATCCCAGAGAACATTTCCTTAATTACAGAGATGGACAAAGGGGTGGAAATTCCTCTCTGGGCAAGTGGCAGAACCAAATGTGACAGATCCAGGGGCTGGGTGTGTCTTTCTTGATCCTGCTGCATTTGCTGCCACATTCCCCCAGCACACCTACCCAAATGTCTGGCCCCCAGCTCCTGCATCACCTGCACCTGCACTGATGCCTCTTTATCTGGTCCTTACAGACAATCCTGGTTGGAGACAGTGGCGTGGGGAAGACATCACTGCTGGTCCAGTTTGACCAGGGCAAGTTCATTCCTGGCTCCTTCTCTGCCACCGTGGGCATTGGGTTTACGGTAAGAGCCCAGTCCCTGCTCCCTGGGCTGTGCACTCACCCTTGGGGAGCAGCTTTATTTGGGGAATCAGAATCTATGAATCTGTGGTAAGCACAAAGAATTGGATACTTTGCTTTGGTGCTGCTGGATGAGGAGTTTGGTTTGGCTGCGTGCTTCTTGGCATGCTTTGGACCACTGCGAGGGATGAAGGATGGGTAAAGCTCCATATTCCAAATCCCTCGGTGGGGCTGTGTCTGAGTGCAGCCTTATGCTTCATACACAGAAAGCTGCTTTTGGAGCTGCCCTGCTCTGCCAGGGAGATGCCAGCCTGTGTCCAGCCCGTGTCCAGCCTGGGGCCCTGGTGAAAATCAGGCAGATGGTGATGGTGCTGGGAAAAGCACTCGGCTGCCATCCAGAGCTATTTGCAGAGCTGCCGTGGGGTCTCAAGTGGCTCTGATGTGTGTGTCCCCTCTCCTGGGGGAGATCAGGACAGGGACAGTGCTTGGGAGCTTACTCCAGAGAGACTGTCAGCCCTTCAGCATTGTGACAAAGCTGGAACTCAGCAAGGGGCTGGTGCCTATGGGGATGTGATTACCCACAGGAATTTTCTTTTTAGTCCAGGCCAAAGAAGCAGGAAAATGTGGCACCAGTGGGGATGGTCTGGGGCCAAGCAGCCCAGGGACCAGCAGCCAAGGGTGCCCCTGCTGAGGGGCCTGAGCCGTGGGCAGGCAGAGGAGGCTCAGCCACACCGCTGATCTCCACCAGCTCCTGGCTGCCTCGTTTCTCCGGCAGCAAATGCCCGTGTGTGGAAGTGATGCTCAGCCAGGCGTTTTCCCTGTCCAGCACGGTTTTTCATATCCTTCCAGCCCCCTCTCCATCTTGCTGCAGGGAAGCTCAGCCACTTCCAGGAGCTCCAAGTGTCCAGCCTCCAGCTCTGGGCACTTTCCTGGCCAAAGAGCACATATAAACTACAAATCCCCCAGCTGGGTCTGAGTGCAGTTACAGGACTGGAAATACAGGTTCTATTTCCCGGGGGGCAGAGCAGGGCTTGGCTGGTGCAGGAGCCAGCAGCCCCAGAAGGTGTGGAGGTGGATGCCATTCCAGAGGGCATCTCTAAATAGAAACTGGTGCAGGAGCCAGCAGCCCCAGAAGGTGTGGAGGTGGATGCCATTCCAGAGGGCATCTCTGCCACTGGATCTCCTGTGGCCACGCATGGCTTTCACCGGGATAGCAGCGAGGGGCACAGCACAGGAGCCCTGCCCCCCAGAATCCCAGTGAGCAGGGATGGGGGTTGCCCTGAGATTAGCCCTGAGGTGGGAGAGATTGAGATGAGGTGAGGTGAGTGGCCACGCATGGCTTTCACCGGGATAGCAGCGAGGGGCACAGCACAGGAGCCCTGCCCCCCTGAATCCCAGTGAGCAGGGATGAGATTAGCCCTGAGGTGGGAGAGATTGAGATGAGGTGAGGTGAGGTGAGATGAGATGAGGTGAGATGAGATGATGAGATATTCCAGGGAAAATAGATCAGGGAGGGCTCAAGGCTCCTATACATGAAGTGATGCCTGTAAGGCTGAAGACCTTGGCTAGCTGTAGTGCATGGACTTATATGAGGTTGGTATGGGGTGGGGTTTTGGGTAACACAACATCCCTCTCCAGGGATTTCTCCCACGTTCCCATGCTTGGGCTTTTCCTAAATGAAGTGCAGTATGAGCTGGGCCCCAGTGGCTGGTGTAGGATGCAGGGGGCTGCGAGCTGCCGGGGGCAGCGGGAGGCCGGGCAGCCACCCCGGCTGGGATGCAGGCTCCGGGGAAGCGGCTCGGCACAGCTCGTGGCTGCCGGCCAGCGGCTCCTGCCCCGCTTCCCTCCCGGCTCCGCGGTGCTCGCCCGGGGCCCGGCTCAGCACCGCTGGGGCTGCAGCAGAGGGGCAAACCCCGCACCCTGGGGTGGGCTGGTGGGGAGGGAGTGGGAGCTGCCACCCCCGCTGTCCCGGCGCGGCAGGGTGGGATTTGGTCCAGCGGGGTCTCCGCCCCCGCTCTCTGTGAGGGATGGGGAGACTGGTCATTTGCGGGGTGATCCCTTCCTCCTCTCCCCACCCAAACGTGCGGAGGGATGGGCCGGGGCTCTGCTCCGTCCAGCGCAGCCAAGCCGGCGGCAAACCCCGGCGCTGCGGGGGTGCAGTGGGGCAGGTTCCCGCTCTTCAGCCTCTTCCTCCTCATCCCCTGCCCGCGCTGGGCCACGGCCTCGGGGGAGGCATCGGCCGGGGAGGAGGAGGAGGAAGAGGAGGAGGAAGGCGGGTGGGGCCGCAGCTCCCGCAGCTCCCGCAGGCTCGGCGGCTCCGCTCGGACGCAGCATGGGCGGCCCCGACGGGGCGGCGGGGAGCGAGACCCCGGAGGGCAGCGGGGAGCCCCCGAGGAGCGGCGGGGAGCCCCCGGCCGTGCCCCGGGATTACGAGCTGTCCGGCAAGGTGGGAGGCGGCGCGGGGGGAGCGGGGATGGACCCTCCGAGCTCTGCCAGAGGGGAAGGTTTGGGTTCCCCACCCCGGCCTGGGGGAGGCCAGGAGGGGTTTAGGGTTTAGGAAGGGTCCCGAGGGCCGCCCGCTTCCTCCGCTGCTGCGATCGCGCCCAGGAAGCGGCCGCCAAACGGGGAGGAAGGCGAAGGAGGCGGCGGCCCCGGCTGACCCCCCCAGCCCTCCTCTGCCCCGCAGTCCCCCGGGGCAGCAGGTGCCGGGATTGGGGTTTTCCCTCCCCGGGAGGTGGGGATGGGGGGGTTCCCTGCCCGAGGGTGCCGTCTGTGCCCGGAGGTGGCAATAGGAGGGACCAGCTGCAGGAACAGGATTTTGGGGCTCCCCGGGGAAGGGGAGCATGGCCGAACTCTGCCCCTCAAAGCCCGTCAGACCTTTCCAGGGCAGGGGCTCCTGCCAGCCCCGCGACAGCAGCACAGGGCAGGGGGGGCAGGACCGCGTCCAGGCCATGGCAGCACCCCAAGGGCTCCAAGGTGAGAACAGCATTTCAGCCCTGGATCCAGCCCAGGACCCCCTTCACCCACACTGCAGCATGCCGCTTGTGAATGTCTCTGCACCCCAGCCCACCCCGGGGCAGGGGGGAGCCCTCCTTCCTGAGTGCCCCCCTCTTCCCCACCCCAGCCCAGGCGAGGGTTGCCCCAGGAAGCACTTCCTCACCCGAGCAGCTCAGGGGAGGCACGGGACTGATGAACCTTTTACCCCCAAAATTTAATACACAGCCCCAAGCTGAGCCCAGTGATGGTGTCAGCCCCGACACCCCCTGCTGCCTCACAGAGCCGGTTGCAAAGTGGTCCTGCACGCTGCCACCTTCTCTAAACTGCTTTTATTCTTCTGCCTTTTTCCTCCCCTCTCTGACTCCTCTTTGTGGAGGGCAATTTCCATGTTTGTGGGAGAAAACCAGTTTTCAGCTTGGTCTAGAGTGAGGTGGAGGCAGAACTGAGCAGTGTTCCCAGCTCCCCACAAGCTCTGGGGAAGGATTTGACCAGCAAAGTGGTAGCAGGAGGCAGAGCATTTCCAGCCACCAGCTTTGGCATTTGCTGTGCCATCCCTGTGGAAGGTGGCCATGGCCCAGAGGCAGCAGAGCTGCAAAGATTTACTTTGCAAGGTCCAGCATCCTGTCAGGCAGGCATGCAGGGATGGACCTTCCTGCTGAAATCCTGCTCACTGCTATTTTTCATAAGGGTGAAAAATGATGCAGTCAGGTTAATGATTGCTGGGCAGGAACAGGTTGCTGCAGGTAGGCAGAAAGAACACAGCATCAGGAAAGGCTGTGCTTGTGGAGCCCAGCGTTGGTCTTGGCTGCTCCCTGCCTGAGTCCAGCAGTGCTGGAGCAGCTGGGGAGCCTGGGCTGATCCTGTTTGCTTAGCAGGAGGGGAAAGGCACCGTGTTTGCTTTGGTGTCTGCAGCAGGCAGTGACAGGGAGAGAGTCCCGGACACGCAGGGTTTGCCCAAGCCATGCATCAGCCCTTGGGCTGGGCACACCCGGGTCGGGGGCAAAGCGTGGGTGTCTCCACACATTTGGGAGCCGTGGCTGGTTCTCTAGGAGCCTGCCGGGCTGGGAGATGGCCAGGGGCTGGCTAGGAGATCTCTCTTCTTGCTGCAGTACTTGCTTTCACACAGCTCTCCCCTTCTTTCGTGGCTGGGGGCTGCCCTGGGGCGCTGCTCGGCCGCACCCTCAGGGTCCCATCCCACACCCAGCTCCCACGGGGTTTTCCAGACCCATCAGGACCAGCCCTGGGGAGAGAAACAAAGGGAGAGAAGGAACCGGGAAGGGCTCAGCACCAGCCAGGGGTGCTGCTCCCTCCCTGTGCTGCTGACGTCTCTCCCTGCGCCCATCTTGCAGGTGATGTTACTTGGAGACTCGGGCGTGGGGAAAACCTGCTTCCTGCTCCAGTTCAAAGACGGGGCCTTTCTCTCCGGGACGTTCATAGCCACCGTGGGCATAGATTTCCGGGTGAGACCACCACAGCTGCCAGCCCCTCGCCCCCTCGACCTGCACCTTGGCCAGGACAGGGTGCTGGGCAGGGGGAATTGGGGTTTCCAGCCTCTCTACCCCAAATTATCTCCCAACCAGCTGCAGGTGCTTGCTGGAACCCTTCCACCCCTCCCTGGGAGACCAGTAACAGACAGAGGAGCCCACTGGTACCTTCGCCTCTTGCCTTTAAGTCAGCCAACAGTCTAGGTTTAGCCCACCCCAGCTGTGTTCATGGTCTGGGAGTGCGTGCTGGGCAGCCAGTACGCTCCACCATGCAGGCCAAAGCCCACAGCTGGGGGGACAAACAGTGGTTGCTGTAATTTCATGCCTTGACAGGGCTGAAATGGGCTGCTGAGAAGTTATTAGGGTTACCAGATTCTGTTTAAACCCCCACACTACTACACTGCTGTCTGCCCATCCAATTTCATCTCCCTCAGGGTGGCCAGGGAGGCACAGCTGTTTGCAGCACAGGGCAGAGCAGGAAGGAAGCCACGGGGGTGTCCCCGGGCAGGGCTGTGCCCACAGCCACCGACACGTGTCGAGTGCGGTCAGTGCTTCCTCTGCCCCCGCAGCTGCAGCTGCCACTTCTCTGCCACCCCTGCTGCCCTGGCTGTCTTCAGCTTTTGGTGGAACTGGGGCCTTGGTGATCAGGGGCCGGGGAGAGAGATGGCTGTGGGTTTGGTTTGATGGGGCCATGAGGCCTGTCCTGACGGAAAAGTCATGAAAGAAGGAAAATCTTCTGTGTCCCACTGCTGGGCTCAGTGCTGGTGTCCCCAGAGGTGTTGCCAGCCTGTAGGTGCCTGCTCTGCCTTGTGCAAGCATCCCCTCCAGCAGCTCATGGCTCACTGCTCCAGGTAATCTCCAGAGCCTCCTAGGGCATGTTTTTGTTTTATCCAGCCCATTTGCTCAAATGCTGTCATCGCCACATGGGCTGAATTTCCATTTCAAACAATTCCAGGCAACGAAATTATTTATAGGGGTCTTCTCTTTCCACACTCCAAGTATGATTCTTTAAGAGTCTTAAAATAGCTTTTCAGTAGTTTTTGATTTTCTTTTTTCTGGCCTCTGGAGAGAAGCCCCTGTGCTTCTGAGATGAGAACAGCGATTGTTTTAGCCTCAATAACTGCCTTCCCAGCTCAGCTGGAAATACCTCTTTCCTTTCCGAGTCCCGGCCCAGCCTTGCTGCAAATCATCGTGACCCAGGAGATTTCCTCCTGCTGTGCTGGATACAGCTGTGTGCTACAAGCAACCCCTCCAGCTCAGTGTTTTCTACCTCCTTTAAGAACCAAGCAAGGCTCCACCAGCAAGAAAACCTGAGCAGGACACCCATCATCACCCAGTGCCCAGGCAGTTTGTAGCATCCAAAGCCCTTAAATCAGTGCAAACAGGCTAAATTTTTGGTGCAGCAGTGGTTCCTGAGCACATGGAGCTGAAGAGTTCCATCAGAAAGATCAGGGCTTTTTGGTGAGCAAACATAAAAGCACACCAACGTGTTATTAATAAATGCAAAGTTGTGTGTGGTTCGTCCATCCCTCCCCACTTCCGCTGCTCTGCCAACTTCCCAGGGGCTGCTGCAATCCCTGAGCTTCCCAGCAGGAGCCAGAGCAGGTCGGTGTTCCTGGGGTTTGCTGGACAGCCAAGGTCATTAACTGACTCATTAGGGGACTTGGGAGCCAAGGACAGGGACTCTGGCTGTGGGAGATGAACGAGGCACCGGATCCAAGGCAGGCTGGGATCTTGCTGTCTCCTCTCCGCTGATTCTGCTCTTCACTCTGACTCGAGGGTTTGCTGCTCGGGGATGTCCCTGTAGCTGCCAAGCAATCAGGATCACGATTTGTAGCAATGGGGCTTCAAAGTCCAGCCCCACAGGCAGCCTTGCCTCTTTGCACTGGCCCAGGGAGCGCAGCTGAGGGGCTGTGGAATGCCAGCTCAGTGCCAGGGCTGGCTGGCACGTGCACCAGGACATGCTTTGGGCTGATAAACCTGCTCTCCTTGTCTTCTGCAGAACAAAGTGGTGGCCGTGGATGGTGTGAAGGTGAAGTTGCAGGTGAGCTTTGGGAGGGGGGAAGAAATTTCCAGATGGAAAGCCACCTCAGGCTGAGCGTGGTGGTCCGGCAGGGCTGGGAGCCACAGGAGCAGACCCAGCTCGGGGAGGTTGCTCTCCCTGCTCTCACCAGGGCAGTTTCTCGGCAGATCTGGGACACGGCAGGACAGGAGCGTTTCCGCAGCGTCACCCACGCCTACTACCGGGATGCCCAAGGTGAGTCTGGGGTCCAGCAGGGATGGGGAGACCACCCAGAGCACATTCCTGCAGTGTAGCAATGCCTCTGCCCCTCTTCCCCTCCAGCCCTGCTCCTGCTCTACGATATCACCAGCAAGATGTCCTTTGACAACATCCGCGTGAGTCCCGCCGTGGGTTGGGAGTGTTTCTCCCCAGGGCCTGGGAATGTGGGTGCCCTGCTTGGCTGGCCGGGTGCTGGGAGCAGTTGGGAGCCTGCTTTACCCGTAAGCACTGGCTGTTCTGGCCAGACCCAGCCAGCTGGGAGCTCATCCCAGGGCACCTGGCTGGGTGCTGCATGGCTGGGTGAGTTTTGTTTAAGGACATGGTGAATGCCTGAGGGAGAAAACGTGGCTTGGGAAGGATGTGAACTACGGCTTGGGCTGTAGCCAGGAGACGGGGAGTTTTCAGGACTGCTCATCTGTGATGCTGGAATGATTCCTGTGCCAAGAAAAGTCATTATCCCTGTCCCTGTGGGGGAGAGATGGGGGTGCTGAAGGGATGCGAGGGCTGAGAGGGAAGGGATGGGGGAACTGAGGGGTGGGGGGCTGAGTTGGGAGGAACGGGAGTACCCCTCACCCCGACACAGTCCTGCTGCCCTACAGGCCTGGCTGACGGAGATCCATGAGTATGCCCAGAAGGATGTGGTCATCATGCTGCTGGGCAACAAGGTGCGTGTGGGGTCCCTGTCCACGCTGGGGTCTGCTGTGCTGTGCCGTGCCCTTGCCATCCCCATGGCTGTGCAGGGATGGGGCTCTGCCTGCACCCTCCGCCGGGCTCTGCTTCTTTCTGGGTTCAGCCAAGCCCAGAGGTGATCCCCGGGGTTTGGGGGGTCGCGGAGGGCAGTATTCCCGGTATCCAGCGGGTGGCAGCACGAGCCTGAGGTTCCAGGTACGGGATGCTCCTCGTATGGGATGCTTTGGTATGGGATGCTGCTGACTCTGGGATGCCCAGCCAGGCCTGGATGCACCCCTGGACCTCAGGTAACCCCAAGAGGCCCAACAAGGTCCCAGATTCTCTCCAGGGGTTCTACATGCTGCTGGGTGCCCAGTGCCCAGCTGGATTTCCCCTTGGGACTGGATGTCCCCTAGATCCTGGATGATGCCCAGCAGGGTTGCAGAGCCTCCCTGGGTCCTGGATGCCCTCAGGTACTGCCCCAGGTCCTCAGTGTCCCCAGGTCCCAGGTGCTCCCTGATATCCTCAATGCCACTATGTCCCAGATGCTCCACAGATCTCAGATTCTCTGGGCAGTGGATACTTCTGGATCCATGCTGCCCCTCGTTCCTGTCAGCCCCCTGAGCACCCCGCAGTGTGGTTTGCCAGATGCCCCAGGGTGCCAGCTGGTCTGGTGTGCGGTGACATTTTCCTTCCTTTGGCAGGCTGATGTGAGCAGTGAGAGAGCTGTGAGGACGGAGGATGGAGCATCCCTGGCCAGGGTGAGTTGTGCCACAGTCTAACCCAACTTGAGCCCCCCCAGACAATTTCACATCACTCAGGGTTCCCATGCAGCCGTGCCATCCCCTCTGAGTGCCCAGACCTGCCTGGATCTTGCAGGTGCAGCACAGCAGTTACTTGCATGAAAAACCTGGGGAAAGGCAGGGAGGGGATGACCCTCAAGCCTTGTCCAGGGATGATTCAGAGGGCCAGGAGGGCATCCTGGGGATAGCCACTGATGGGGCTGTGCTGCTCTTGCAGGAGTACGGAGTGCCTTTCATGGAGACGAGTGCCAAGACAGGCATGAACGTGGAGCTGGCCTTCCTGGCCATTGCCAAGTGAGTACCTGGGGCTGGGGCACTGAACAAGGAAGGTGTCCCCTGCAGCCCCACCACCTCCCCCACACCAGCACAGTGTGGGAGGGGGTAACACAGCCTCACCACTCTAGGGAGCTGAAGCAGCGCGCGGTGCAGCCGCTGGATGAGCCCCAGTTCCAGATCCACGATTACATCGAGTCACAGAAGAAGAAATCCAGCTGCTGTGCCTTCTCCTGAGGGTGGCCCAGAGGAGCTGGCAGCCTGGGGGCCCAGGTGTGAAGCAGAGCGGGGCCCCATCCTGCCCTCAAGCACTGGAGGGAACCAAGCTCTGACAAGCCGAGGCGGATGGCACAGCACAGAGTGAATGAGGAGGGCCCTTGTCCTGGTGCCAGGACTCAGATCCTGCTGCCCTGCAGAGCAATGACCCGTGTGCCATCGTGGGAATCACTGTGGTGTGGTGACTGCCAGCCTGGCCTGCAAGCCATGGTGATCCATCACCTCCAGCACCTGAGCAGGGTGCATGACACAGCCACACACTTCACTGAGGGACCCTTGGAGCAGCTGGAGGAGCTGTGCCATGGATGAGCCCCCCTGCAGCCCCCAGTCCTGTCCTCTCTTGCAGCTATTCCTGCTCACAGTGCTGCTGTTGTCCAACTGGAAGGGCCTGGTCCAGCCCCCATGTCCCTGGTGCTGCCAAGCTCTGGCTTCCCTCCAAGGAGCCTCAGCTCTGTCCCCCCAGGCTGCCCCACACCCCAGTGCCCACGCTTGGCTGTGGCTCCTCATTTCTGCAGTTGCTGCCAATGGCTTTTATCCTCCTGCCACCACAAATGCAATGATGTCCCCATTGTATCCTGGCTCTGCTCGAGGGAAGGGCTGGGATGGGGAAGGGTCCAGCCAAACCTGCTCCCTGCCCACACGGCTGGTGTGAGAAATAAAATTCCCCTGGGAGCATCTGAGCACTGCTTGGAGCGCTTCTGGTACACACAGCAACTTGGAAAAACTTTGCTTACACCATGTTGTGCCACAGAAATTAGAGAATTTATTTTTTTTTTAACAAGAAAAGGCTTTTTCATTTCAATGCCTCCAGACTGAACCATCTCCAGCCTCATGCAGGAGATGCCCACGATGGCATCACCTGGGGTGATGCTTCAGCCCTGCTGTCTCCCAGGCCAGGCTGGGTTTCTCTCCTGTCACTGTCCATGGAATACAACTATGCCTTCCTGCTGCTGGCAAATAGCAGCTGGAGCCCGCTGTCTGGAGTCCAGATGCCTGAGAGCCTTCATGCAGCAAACACTGCTGTGTTGGGCACTGGTGGGGCTCAGGGACATCCCTGGTGCCCAGCCCAGCTCTGTTGCTCCCTCGAGCACTGTCCACTCCCCTGAGCAGTCAGATGGTGAATATTTGGTTGTGTAGCTGAAGCGCTGATGCAGAGAGCAGCTGTGGAGGGTATGGCACTGCGTGTAGGAGTCAGGGACTGTCCAGCACATCTGTCCCCATCAGCACCTTCCCTGGCCCTGCACCTGACTGCTCGTGTCTCACCTGCCCCGGTGCCTCCTTCACCTCTGCTCTGCCCCTGGGTCTCTCTTTGCAAGTTTACAGATTAAAGCTGAGTATTTTTTTGAGGCTTTGCATCTGTCTGGTTGTTTATTGCGTGAGAAATCCCTGCCCTGGGTCTGCGCCGTGGGAGGCTGAGGCTGCTGCGCAGAGGCGCCGCAGAGCAGCCGGGCTGGGGGCCCTGGGAGCAGCCGTGAGGAGGGGGAAGCACCCACGGCCCTTCCTCCCTGCCGGGGGGGGCTTTCATTGCACATTTCAGACAGACCAAAGGTGAGAGGGGAAGAGTAAACATGGCCTGTTAAATTAAAACCAGCCTCCTCCCCTGCTGTTCTCATGGTTCGGAGTCCAGCATTCCCCAAATAACTCCGTCTTCCCACCAATGGCATTGCTGCTGCCGCTTGGCTGATGTCTGCAAAAAAAATGCTGGATGGCTTCAACACAAACAGACGTTGGCTCTTTTCTCTTTCCCCCCTCCTGCCTGAGCTCCCTTAACTTCACTGCAAGATGCAAAGGGCAGGAGGAGGCAGCTGGGGCGCGACGGTCCTGCCCGTGCCCTGCCGTCCCGCAGGCACTGTTAGACCCAAAAGCAGTTCAGCTGTTTCCTTTGCTGCTGCCTTTCTTCCTTATCACGGTCCCGTGCTCAAACCAGCCCTGCCGGAGCTGGGTTTTGTTTCCTGACTGAGCACAGGGTACCCGAAATGTGCTCTGCATCTGCCCTTCCAAAAAGCTCACTTGCGGGGCTGTGAGCAGCACAGCCGAGGGGACGGCTGTGACACGGGCTGTGATCCCCCGGTCCCGGGGCCGTACCACATCACTCTTGCCCTGGTTTTCCCCTCCGAAGGCATTTGCCGTGGGATTCCTCTCCGCCGCTTTTCTCAGCGCCGAGCGGGCGCGGGCGAATGCTCAGCCGAGTGGAGGAAACAAATGAGCCCACCCTCCGCTCCCGGCTGCGCCCCACGGGCTGCAGCACGGCCACCCCCAGCACACAGGGGGTTCTTCGGCCGCTGGGGTCCCTGAGCAGGTTTTTGGGGCAGAGCACCTTGGGACAGACGTGTCCCACGGCGTGCGGCTGTCCCCTCCTTGCTTGCCGGTCTGCAGCTCGGTTAAACGCGATGCTGGCGGCCCCGAGGACCTTTGGCCAGGAGCTTCAGCCCTGCGCTGGGAGACACCGCTGTGCTAGGCTCTCTGGACAGCCCCAGGAGCCAGGAGGCAGCTCTGCCTGGCACCAGCAGCCCTGCGGCATGGCCGGAGCAGCCCAGGCTGGTTGCTGCCTTGCTCTGCCCTGGCTGAGCCCAAACCTCAGGATCTCGTATGCTCATGACCCCCTGAAGCTACTCCTGCTTCTCAGTCCGTGAGCAGAGAAGATGCAGCCAGGGCAGAGCAAATCCCCTGCGTTCCCTCCACCTTCCCCACCTCGGGTCCCCACCTCTAGGGTGCTGAGCAATGTTCAGAGGCTGGGGAAACACGACCGGCATCTCGTTTCCGCTGCAAAGCCCTCTTCCCGGCCCGCCTTCCCGTGCAGTTTCGATTTGGGGATTTAATTTCACTTATTTTTATTTTACTTCGAGCATCCCTCCCCTCTACCACCCTCTACGTCGGAGAAGTGCTGGGAGCAACTGCAGCCTTCAAGGACTGGGCGAGGGTACGGGATGCATGCTCCCCGAGAGGCCACCCGGGATGTTCCGCGGAGCGGGAACAGCTGGGAGCGTCCCGCCGGAGTCGGGGCTGTGACCGGGACGGTGGCAGAGCCGATCCCCGGTGGGGGGAGTTCAGCAAGGATCGGGAGTTGCCGCGGTGGGCTCGGGTGGGGCCAGGAGAGGCGGGGGCGGCTGCGGGGGAGCGGCCCGGCCGCACGGGGGCGCGCTCGGACCCGCCGGGAGCGGCCCGGTCCCGCGGCCGGCGCCACGACCCGGCGGCGCCGCGCCCGCAGCGCCCCAGCGGGGCGGGAACTCATTTGCATACCCACCCGCCTCATCTGCATAACCGCACCTTTAACATTTGCATGGACACGCCCTATCGCTGTCCTTATTTGGCGGGAATCATCCCATCCCGCGCTCTGATTGGCCGCCGCCGGCCCCGCGCCCCGCCTCCCTATATAAGCCGAGTGGCGGGCGCGTTGCCGCGCAGTGCGCTGAGTGCGGGTGGCGGGACGGGCCCGCTGCTGCTCCCGCCGCCTTCCCCGCCATGAGCAGCGGCGCGGGCCCCGCCGCCCGGCTGTGCCGCCTGGAGCGCGGCCCGGATGGGTACGGCTTCCACCTGCACGGCGAGAAGGGCAAGCCGGGCCAGTTCATCCGTCTGGTGGAGGCGGGCTCGCCGGCCGAGCGGTCGGGGCTGCGCGCTGGGGACCGGCTGCTGGAGGTGGACGGCGAGAACGTGGAGCGGGAGAGCCATCAGCAGGTGGTGGAACGGATCCGCGCCGCCGCTGGCACCGTCAGTCTCCTCGTCGTAGACTCGACGGCCGAGGATCAGCTGCCGAAACGCGGCGGGGCCGAGCCGCCGGTGGTCGGCGGGCAGGCGGCTCCGGTGCCGGCGGAGCCCGCGGCGCGGGAGCCCGGCGGGGGCGACCAGCGGGTAAATGAGCGGCCGGGGCATGGGGCTCGGAAGTTTTCGGGGCAGAGGGTGTTGTCCGAGGAGGAGGGGTTGCGACCTTCCAGGCGAGCGAGCGGGAGCCGCGTCTGCCCTGGGGGTTATGTGTGGTTTCGGTCTCGATTCTTTCTTTTTTTGCTTTGCTTTAAAAACGGCTCCCCAGAAGCCGCGGGTGCTGCCGCGCCCGACTGCTTTGCCTATTTTATTTGAAATAAATAGAACAAAAATCCTGTGGCAGAGGGTGTTTTTTGGAGCCGAGACTGCAGGTATTGGTGGTAGTCACTCCTGCTTTGAGTGTGTTCAGTCTCTGCTGTGGAGTGGAGATAGCAGAGCTCTTCCCGGGCTGGGGGCTTGATCCTGGCAGTCAGTCCCACAGATGCTTCCCAACTCAGGAATGTCGGCCTTAAGCACGCGTGGGAGTGAGCAGTTGCACAAACAAAGTGATGTAGAAAGGTGAGGAATTGAGAAACAGCTGACCTTTCATGCCCCAAGCGGTTCCTAAGAGACGCTCGGGGCTCCGGGAGATAATACTGCTTTTTATTTACCCAGCAGAGACGTGTTTGTTGTCACAACAGACATGTGGATGGCTCCCTGGGCAGCAGCCTCTTGAGTTCCCGGTGTGAGGAGCCTTCTGGGGAAATCTTATGACCTGTTCCCAGAGAGGTTGGTGCAGTGGAGCCTTCCCGGTGTTGATGCTGAGTCCCAGGAGGACCTTGGTGCTTCACTGAGCTGCTGTCACATAGGGTTTTGCTGAGGATTAGGTGGTTTTGAGCTGTATCTCCTGTTGGACTTTAGCCTGTGTTTGTTCCCTTGGTTGGGCTGATCCACTGCAGGCACAGCTCTCATCCCTGCCTGGCTAAAACATCACTCCAGCACCTCCTTGATGGGCTTATTTGGGTGGGAGCAGCTATGTTCTATCCCTGTGCTGTCTGTCTTGCTCGCTGTCCCCTGTATCATGCCACGTCCCTCACGTGTGGCCCCGTGCTGGGCTCAGGTGCTGCCCCGTGCAGGGAGAACGTGCCTGCTCTCCTGTATGTCACAGTGCCAGTGCTCCCTCGGGGCTGGCGAGGCTGTGCTCTGCTTTCTGCTCCCAGACCTCTCCATGGGCTGGGAAAAATAAAAGGGATGTTCTTAATGCAGCTCAGGTGAATCCCCTGCCAGGCTGGGGGGCTCAGGACGTGCAGTCCCCAAAGAGGATGGAGTCCTCTCGTGCTGTGGGACTGCTGCCTGCTCGCTGTGTTGGCTGGAGTGATGGAAAGAGCTTAGGAAGCTGGAGATGCCCCACAAGATCTTTGGGAGACAGCCCCAGCTGGAGATACCTCTTGGGCTTTGGAGCTGAAGGTTCCCCACAGTCTTGGGGAGCAGGGCACAGCTCTTGCACAGTTACTACTGGCGGTTTCTCTGCTCACCAGATCAGGAAGCAGGTGACATGGGGTGACATTGCCACAAGGCCCCAGACGGTTTCTCAACAGGTAGCAGCAGGAAATCTTGTGGCTGGGGGCAGGGCCCAGTGGAAAAGTGGGTTTAGAGACATTGCCAGGCCAGGCACCCACCAAGCAGGGTGGGAAGATGCCTCGTGGGATGCTGAGCCAAGCCGGAGCAGGCAGAAAGGGATTCTGTCCAGTGAGGCAGGAGCACACCGGTGGCCTGTTTCTGGCCACTGGCACAGAAGCGGTGCTGGCTGCTCCATCCCCCTGCAGCCCCATCCCATCTCTGTGGGTTGGTAGGATTCCCTGGGATCACAGGGGAAGTGGGAGATTTGCACATGTCAGAGTTCTGTTTGCTTTATTGGGCTGGACTTGCCTTTATTTGTTTAACAAGCCTGGAGACGCTCAAGAGCTGGGAGAGCTGCTTGTGGTGAGCAGTGTTTGATGTCTCCCACCTTCCAGCAGAATCCATTCTCTCTCCAAACTGTACTGGGTCCTGCATGATTGGGACTGCCAGGGGTCTCAGACACCTCACGAATCCCGGGGCAGTTGTGGGAGACTGGTCATGGGCTCCTTTTTCATTCCTATCAAACCTTGAGTGTGCAAATCCCCCCGATGGTGTGGTGGAGGTTTTGAGCCTCCCTGGGAAGCTGGTCCATGCATCCCTGTCTGCGGTGCTGAGCCAGTGCAGTGGCAGTTTCACACCCTGGGGCCCTGTGCCGTGGGGGTGTCCCCCAGCCAAGAGCTGTGACAGTTTGTCTGCCTCCATCTTTATTTCCGGAGGCTTCAGCTGCTCGGGAGTGTCTTGAGAAAGTTTCATACAAACTGCACAGTGTTCCCAGGGCAGCACCGGATGCTGCCAGTAAAGTGCCCTGGTACCAGGGCAAGGCATTTGCTACCAGCCCCAGGCTTCCCTCTTACAAATTTAGGGTTAAATTAGAGCCCTCCCTGCCAGCAAGGCTCATCCCTCCTTGTAAAACCTGGGAGAGCCTCCCAGGCTGGGTTTCAGAGTGTAACAGGGAGCAGTTCCCTCGGCATTGGGAGTGTTGCACTGGGGTAGCTAGAGTTTAATTAGGAAATGAATTAAATTTCCTCTCAAGGCAGCTGCATGAAAAGCAGCTCCAGTCAAACAGGACGTGACAGGGATGCTGCAAGGAGGCTGCTTTGCATCCCCTTTGTATGAAGCCCGAATGTGTGCGCCAGATTTTGGGACCCGTGTGAATTTGCTGGCTCAGGCATCCTCAGAGCTCTTGTGTTTCTCTTTGAGTAACTGGGAATGTTGCTGCTGCCAGCAGGCTTGATGCTGCTTGTAGGGCTGCAGGGAATTTCCTGGGAC